TTGTACTTACATTATTGTAGTATTGAACATATTTGAATTTCCATGAAAAATGAAAATGTACTACGGGTTGGCAATTAATTTCCATTTCCTCATATGGTCAATACACATCCCTTGGTATCTTTTGGTGGGTTATTATTCATTATGCTATTTACTGGGTTTCTACCCATTATTAAAGCATATTGTAACAGAAATATCAACTGAATATCAAATGTTCATCTTCTCAGTTTCTCTTAATTGCTCCTGAAATAGTTTCACGAGCAGTACATAAGGGAGGAGTGTTTGCTTCAAATGTATTTTTAGTAGTCAAAACAATTAGCATGGATCAGCATTCCCATGTTAAAAATATACTTTAAAGCTAAACCAAACTTAGCATGTGTGAGAAGACAATCAGGTTGTTTATTGCAAGAGGGTGTCTTATTGTATACTGCTGCTGTCTTGGCAAGGTATCTTGTAGAAGGGATAACTTCGGTATAGAACTGTATTTCACCTTCAGTTAATCAGCATTCAACTCAAATTGTAGAATGCTACAAAGCCATCCTCCATTTAGCAGAAGAAATGCCATCCCTGTTGAGGTTGTGTGGAACGTTAACAAGACAATAACCCTGAATGCCATTCTTTAAAGCTTTGCCAAACCCAAGTAGGTGAATCAAGTGCTGACTTGTGTGTTTATTTCCCCTTCAGTCTTTCACCCCAGGGCTGAGAGAAAGATACAATGGTGTAGCGCTATAAAACAGTAACAATGTACAGCAGCTCACATTCTGCGTCATGTAGAATCTAAGCATTTAGAAAACAGTATAACTACAGGCCCACGAAGGCCAGAACCCATAATGAAATGAGGGAAAGACAACTAGTGCCAACTCATCAACAGAATAGCCGAGGGACAGCTATTTATTATCCCAGCTGGGCAGGCCAGCTCAGGAGTACATATTCACCTAACAAGGGGAAGTGCAGCTAAATGATCAGCCGTTTAACCTTCTAATATTTCACTAATGTTAATGAGACACTCTATTACGACTCAATCATAAATCAAGTAAAGTCAAAGAAAGAAAATCTGAAGAAACAATGAGCAGACAATCCCTTTAATTCCCAGCACTGGGCCTATGACATAGTAATACAAGCCAAGTGTTATTTTACTGCTTCAGCAACAGAGATGATGTCATTACAGGAAGAATGATACCTGCACTGTATGTATGTATATACACACACATATATACATATATACATATATACATACATATATATACATATACACAGATTGGTTCAGTCATGTTTTAAACATACATGGGACATCATAAAAACCAAATAAATAACCAGTGTTTGTGCATTGAAAGATATCACAAATATAAATCAGAAAAATAGTATATCTAAAGGCAAATCTACATACACAATTAATAGACTTCACTTTGAGCACATGATTTGCCATGGGACTGGAGTTTTAAATAAGTAAGCTCGCAGTCAGACTGCACACTAGAATGTGATCAGTACAATGAGACATAGCTGACAAGCAAGACAGGCCTCTAAGAATGTCGCTGGAGCTGTTCAAGCATGTTCTCTCAAGTGTGCTTAACATGATCCTTGCACCAGCTAGATGGGCACCTATGAATTATACCACATACAAATTTACACAATAAATGCTACCTGAAATGGGTAGTGCTGGTGATTTCCATGTGCTGGCCTATGTCTCGGTACACAAAACAAGTAGATCGTTTTTATCAAGTTGTAGCAGTATATGCGGTCCACTACATCACACCAGCCTGCAGTGAAAATGGGAAATGATGTTGGGCAATTCTGAACATCTTGTGCGTTATATTTTGAGTTGCTATGTTTTTGGTGCCTTCTGAATTAGCTTGATTAAAAAGAAGAAAAAAAAAAAACAGCCTACAGGTCATTGCGAAAAATAGTATTGCTGGATTGATAATAAATGATAATGGAATTAATTGTAAATAGAAAGAGAGCGAGAGAAATACCCATGTTTAAAACATAGACACAATGTGCTGTGGTAGTTCCCCTCTCACGTCAAGAGCCATACATGTTCCCTTGGTTTCAGTCTTCAAGAAGTCCCTGCAAAGGAACATTAAGTTACTAAGTTAGAAATTATGTCTCATGATGTTGATTATAGGCACTCTCCAATTCGGTTTACTGCTTTGATTAAGAAGTGAAGATTTGAGGCCAACATAGATCCAACATGGCTGGAGATGGAGATCCTTACCCTCCTCGCTGTTAGTGAGCACAAGTGCCTGTAGTATGTCAGAGAGGGAGACTATGCCCCTCACCACCTCTTTCTCGTCCACCACCACCAACCTGTGCACCTGAGAGAACAAGAGGAAAGTCCACGAATCACTTACACAAAAATGGACATAAAGTGTATGCTTTCTAATGTCTGCCTGACAAGGGGAGGGGGGGGGGGGGGGGGAGGGGGGGGGGTCTGCTCACCTCCGCCTCTACCAGTCTGTTGATGATGGCCTGCAGTGTCTCATGTCTGTTGCAGGTCAGCACACCCTCAAAGTACTGAGAGCGGTGCTGTAGGGCTTTGGTCACAGTCACATCCAGGTTGTTGTACGTCTTCTCAGCTGCAAGATTCTGAGGGGGAAAATGGCCACACTCTTTTTTGAGAATAGTTGACTTCACAGCAGCTTACCACAGACCAAATTTTGTAGATTATTACGCAGTTTCTACAGTTTAATAATCTAAAGTAATAGTAATGTAGAGTTTTGTAGTGTATTAGGAGTAATATTAAAACTATGATGGTTCATCTTTAAATAATTCTATAAATTACCTAAATGCATGTATTATTTAAAATGCATAATGTGACGTGCTTAAGCTTCACAGGAAATGTTTACAAATTTTGAGGCAGAATTCGTTTGTGATTTGCTGATATGAACCTTTTTACAACAAGCACCAGTGGGACTTACTCATACATTATGGGGAAGTCAGACTTAGTGATACGTTATCAGAAATCATATCTGAGAACACCCTTGTAATATCCTGTTCTGCATTTCTAGATACACACACAAATGATTTTCCTTGCATTTAGTTTAATCTCATTAAACATTACATTAAAAATACAAAAATACAAACATGGTTGTTTATCATGCCATGGTAAAGGCATAGCATTATAGAATACTTACAATGACATCAAATTTAGAATAAATGTCCACCACTCGACCTGGAGACAAGGGAACAGCACATCAGCATAGAGTGCAAACAACACTTGACCCTTGACTGAGAAGAGAGGCCTTCACGGTGGCCTTTATCCTCACATACCTTTGTCGTCCACAACAGGTAGGGCCGATACTCTCTGCTCAACAAAGATGCCCAGTGCCGTGTACAGGGGTGTGTCTGCTCGCACCACCGCTATGTTCTGGAACGTTCCGATGTTCAGTTCCTCTAAGGTTTTGTCTAAGAAAGCTGGTATGGGCATCTCCGATATCTAGCAAGCATAAGATGAAGACCACATAATGATTAAAAATTATAAACGCTTCATGAGTTTATTGTGATCAATCAAACACTGAGATGCTAAGAAATGTCATCTACTAAGCTGGACAGGGGGCTGTGAAAAACACTCACAAAAAGCTTGAGGAACTTCAGGATCCTCTTGTGTGTGAGAATATAAAGTGTATTGCCTGTCAAAGGGTCAATCACCGGCAACCTGTGGATTTTGTTCTTCAGCAGAGATGATACTGCGTCATACAAGCTGGGAGAGAAGAGGGAATGTTATAAAAGACAGTAAATGTCACATGTGGGAAAAGGATGAAGAATAGATCAATTAAGATAAATACCTAGCATTGGGTGGTATGCTGACAAGAGGTTTGAAAGAGTCTTGGAGATACAGTTCTGTAAATAGAGTAAAGAACATGATTGTATATGCCCACAATTGGACTAAATGGTCAGATATGCATCATTTGGAGTAAAACGTTTACCTCTCCAGGTCTCAATTTTGTGCTCTTCCAGCTCATAAATCTGGACCTTAAAATGTAACACCAAAAAGGTAAATTACTATTCATAATTGCATCATTAGTAAAACACTCAAAACAAACCATTTAGTGGTCCTAGTCTTACCAAAGGAGACTTGTAGTAGCGATGCAATATGTTGATGAAGTCTGTGATAGTGAGCATACCTGCATGTATAAAGAGAAATGCAAGTCAATTTGTAACTAAAACAAAAAGTGTGTCCGTTTTGTTTTAGAGCATATATCCATATATAATTTGAAGTGAAAGCTGAAGGTATTTTTGGTCAATTATTCAGCAAGCTGGCATCAGTTAGTCCCAAACATAGCCTGCACTTCATTGACAATTAAATCATTATCATCAGTAAAATGTTTCACATTTTTAATTCACAATTTCAACATCATTACATAATATTTTGCAACCTTATTTGTGCAATTAGGCTGGAGCAAGTTTACTCATTATGGTAGCAAAATGATCAGTATGGACCGACCCATCAATAATTGAGTACAAATGGGTCAACCATTAGTTATCCCAGGTGTCTAACTTTGAAAAAACAAAAAGGCAAGCAAATGCCTTACCCACAAAGCACTGCTTCTTGCTATCCCACAGAGGTGCTGCTCTCACACCATTTGAAACAAGTGCAAAAAATGCCTTCTTGACCTGAAAAAAAAACAATTTACATGAACTACCCAACTGAAAACAAGGATCCATACAATAGAGATTCAAGTAATAACTCACTTGAAGTGACGTATCAAACACCACCAATTTGGAGCTTGTAGGTACCAGGTCATAGCACCGGTGAGACTTCATAAATCGGGTGTACACATTATGCTCTGGGTCTGGATAAAAGAAGTTCAAGTCTTAGATGCACAGAACAACACAGAGTCAGACTCTTATGACAAGTCACCGGTAACTACCAATTCAGGGGCATAATATACTAGAAAGATAAAATATGCTAGACAAAAATAAAGTTACAAATGAGAAAAATATACAAGAAAGCAAAAAGTATATTACAGAGTAAAACAAAAATTGCCAAATAAACTAAATGCTGAGCAGCTCAACTGGTAGAGCAGGGCATTAACGTTGCCAGGGTCAGGGGTTCGAGTCCCGCTAACACGTATGCACTCACGGTATTGTAAGACGCTTCAGACAAAAGCGTCCACCAAATGACATGTACATATACATTTAAAAAAACGTGCAAAAGCCAAGTTATACGCAATGATGAGGTATTAAGTGATTTAGGGTTAATAAAGTGACATGTGTATTATGAATGTAGGTCACAGGGAAGCGAAGGACTTTACAGTCACGACGTCAACAGGTACATGTTGTACCCCCACACTTTTAAGAAAAACGTGCAATGTAGTGAAGTAGGAGTCTAAATAATACCAATAATACCAATCATACCTTCCACGACTTGCTCTTTTTTGCTGTCCAGATCATCGAGGGGAGCTGGAATCTAAAAGATAAAGTGATCCTATAGTTAGGTACGACAATCAAATTATAACGCAATAAAAGCCACGACTCGTCCAATAGCCTACTTAATCCCACTTATCACAATGAGACGTGACCAAAGTAGGAGGTATTTATTCATAAGTTGTACAGGTTACAACACTGACAGTACACACCAACAGGCGAACTTTAACCGGTCCGCTCAGCTGGGACTCAACCTGGCTGCTAGCGCCTCATCTGGGGGAGATAGTTACCTCAAGTGTCTCGCCGTTTAAATGTGCCCTTCAAATAATTAAACGTAATCTCTTTAGTTTAGCTCTTACTACTGTCCCTTAGCTGTCCGTGTTGTTTACTACAGTGGTGGCTAGGCATGCAAGTAGGCTAGGTGAGTTTGAGGACGTTGTCCCATAGTGTGTCTTCTCCAAATGTGGCTAACCGCGGCTAGCGGCCGCTTCACGTTGCACAATGTTTACAGTGACATAGTCGCCATCAAGCTCGGTTTAAATACAGTTGGGGGACTCACACACTCCATGTTGCCTCCAGCGCCTTTGCCCCCCACACTTCAATTGGTCCCGATTGAGTTCAACGTAGGACCGCAACACGTCCCGATCTTGTTTCAAGCGGTTTCCAAACTTCAACTCTTTAGCTAGCGCTGCGGCTAGCAACGGACGCACTGCACGTAGCGCGAGCGTCCGGGACGCGACCAATAGGAGCGCAGCAGGCTCGTCTTACTTCCGCGTCGTCCGGGACGCGACCAATAGGAGCGCAGCAGGCTCGTCTTACTTCCGCGTCGCTGTGTAAATAAAAGGCCCGTGGACAGCGCGCTCGAGCGGCGGGTTCTGCGGCTGTTCCGCTTTCAGGGGATATTATTAATTATTAATATATTATTTAAAAAGTTTTGAAGATAATGTTATATGGCTATTATTTTAATACGGTTGTCTGTCTTGGTATGCAGAAGCCCCCCCCGCCCTTAGTGTACATTTTGCCCATACTTAATTATAATTTTAGGGATGCACCGATATGAATATTTTGGCCGATACCGATATTAATATTGCTGTTATGACCGATAGCCTATATGTACCGATGTAGATATGATCTGTATAAAAAACGTTTATATGATAATCGCATTTTGTACATACTGAAAAACATGTAAAAAACAACAACAACAACTGTGAATGTGTCTGTCTGTCTTTATTCCCAAAACATTTGGAAAAGCCACACACACACACACACACACACGAACAACGTCAGCTAGACGAGAGAGGAAAACACTCACCAGTGTTGGAAGGTAACTAAGTACATTTACTGTACTTAAGTAAAAATTTGAGGTGCTTGTACTTGTACTTGACTTGAGTATTTCTATTTTCTATTACTTTATACTTCTAATCCACTACATCTCAGAGGCAAATGCTACTTTTTACTCCACTTAATTTATCTTACGTTAGTTACTAGTTACTTTGCAGATTCAGATTAACAATACAAAATATAATCAATAAATACATTACATTATCCTATCAATAAGGCTATATTGGTCCCCAGGAGGAAATTCACAAGCTACCCAGCAGTATGTAAAGTAATATATAAAATATGAATAAATAAATTCAAATGAGCTCCACCTTTACAAGCTGCAACATTAAAGCAATGAACACATTAATGCATCAATAAATATAATCCAATAATATAATATATATTTTTCTGAAATGGGCCATTCTGCATGAGTACTTTTACTTTTGGTACTTTAAGTATATTTTGATGCTAATACCTTTGTACTTTAACTTAAGTGACATTTTCAGTGCAGGACTTTCCATTTGAGTACTTCTTCCGCCACTGACACAACAGCAGCTAGACTAAAATAATCATCGGTTGGTCACATCGGACCAGCTTTGCTCATTGGACCGATGTATTAAAAAAATGACTAACATCGGCCGATATATCGTGCATCCCTACAAAATGTATTTATTAAACAAATCATTGAAAATGACATCAAAGGAGTAAAGGATTTATTTATATACAAAACTGTTTACAGCAAGTGTTCTGAATTAACATTGCCCCACCTGAGAACATTGATGCCAAGTTACACAACACCATTTCATTTTCTCATGGGAACAAGTCAACTGAAGGGTGGGGAAAGAGAAGAGCACCTTGAATCATAAAGGGAAGCAGGTGGGAAATAGCCTTGTGAGACCATCCTGATATTATATCCCGTATATATCCCAAAGGAACAGTATGTGAACTTGAGATCGGGATGGTCTCACAAGGCTAGGTGGGAAAGGTGTATGAACTGTAAGGCACAAGACACAGCATCACCAGCTTCTCTTCAAACGCCACACTCAACCAACTACTTCGAGAAGCACTCATAAAAAAAATCAAAATAAAAAGCCAAAACAACAATTAGCCACTACGGGTAGGACACTATAATAATGTAAAGGAAAAAAAAGCCACTTTTCTTTATAAGGCTAGTGTGACTTTGAAACACAGGCTTTAGAAGGCCTCATGTATTTGATAGTGTTCATTGCATTTTGCATCTACACATTAAATGGACATAATGGTACCATGGCTATGTTTTGTTATGCGTGTCCACTATGAAATTTAAAACTTGAGTATTTCCATCAATATACTCTAAAAGCCACTGTTAAAAATCTATTTAAAATAAATCTGCTACTCAACAAATTGTATAATGTTATACTGTATGCATATAACCAACTAAATATATTGAGGGGAAAAAGCAAACCCGCATCATTCAAATATACCCAAAACAATTACACCAGCTTCTAAGATTCTATTTCTATAGTCACAACTTGTAAACATCACTGATCTTACCTATGCTATAATTAGGTTATCCACCAGATAACACATTTATTATTGTCTACCAAGAAAAGTAAACTGTAGAAAAATGGAGGGGCAACAGATCTTAAGAATCAAACTATGATAAAGGAATATAGAAATAGACTTCTGTCATTAACACACATTTTACAATTTAGTCTAAAGGCACCCAACGTTTACTTTTTTTAAATGTACATTGAAAATGATTTACATTAGTGAACTTTTCTTTCTCCAATAAACCTTATTCCATGATAAACCAATGTGTCTAATTTAGAGTTGTGTTCCAAAAACACATTTGTAGCACTGTCAATTGTAACAGTTGTTTGTCAATGCTGGAATACTATTTATATGTTTGGGAGTTCAGGAATAATACATGTTCATAAGAACCATCCATCCATTATTTCAGTTAACTACTTGACATATGCCAATCAGATTTTTCTCAAAGAATTGGGCAAGTAAATTTGGCAATATCTTGTCTAAGCCCAAAGTTTATATTACATCACCTACATTAAAAAATGAAAATATAGAAATCCTTAATGAAGGAAAACACTTCATTCAAAAACAATATTTTTCATCTTGCTCATAGAAATCTTTCCCTATAGTTACAATTGATAAGCTCATTCGTCAGTTGTCTGAGCCACTGGCTGCCTGTATATAAATCAATCTGCTGTTAGGATGAGTCCGGGAAAAAAAATGCCACTGCAGCTCCTTGATGCCAGGGAGGTGAGGGTGGGCAAGCTGGTGAGGTTGTGCCACCTGTCTTCAGCATACGAGTCATCCAATGTCGTTGTGAGACACCTTTACATCACAGCACACTTTTTCTCCTCTGAGGGCACGTTTCCGTCGGCTCTCTCCATCTCCAAAATGATCCGCTTGAAAACCTCCACTGCAGTCTACGTTGGCAACAGAGTACAGGGCTTGGGTCACACAAAAGAAATGCACCTGTAGACGTCCCAAGTCAGTGTGTGGCGGTTTTAATAACATATTGTTCATTATTGGCATTGTCAATTATAACTCAACCTGAAGACCACCACATATCTTAGAATGTTAGTATTTAGTATTCTCTTTGAGTCATAATTGATTAATTGATGAAACACAATCCACCAAGAGTGCCTACAAATGGGCACATGCCTCAAAATAAGGGCTAGTTCTCTTTCTCTACATGTTTCATCTTGGTCTGGTTGTCAGTAGTGATCGTCACAATGTTGATTAAATGAAGGGCTACTAATATATCCCAACTGAAGACATATGTAAAAACTATGTAAAGCCATGATACCTCATTCTCCTTGGCTGAGGATTCCATAAATGCAGCACCCCATGAATCCGCTAGCTTCTTGCCTTCCTCTGGCTTGATCACTCTGTGAGGAATAAAAGACTGAGGATTTTAACGACAGTGTCTACGATATAAACAGAGTCTACATTATAATAATATAAACTCTAAGTGTACTTAATTATGGTATCCGTATCATTACTTTAAATTGAACATTTCCTTTCAATTTATGTTTTATGTATTTTTTTTCAAAATAATTAAAATGGCAGGAGGAATACAGAGGGAAGAAAATCCAGTTGAAAAAGGTCATGAGGCAGAATGTAATCTAGGTTTATACATGCCCATACATGACTAGTACAAATTCTGAATGTGATACATTGTCAAGTTGATTTTCACTAATAATAATAATAATAATAATAATAATATCTTCATAGTATAAACATTTTTTTAATGAGAAGCAAAACAATCATTACACATCAAGCTTTCTCAACAGTATTACCTTTCCATGTGGAGATCTTTTTTGTTTCCTACAAGAACGGTAGGAACCCTAAAATAAATTACAAAAAAAAAGTCAAATACAAA